TGACAAGTGTTTGCTGCATGCCTAGTTCAAGTTCTTCAGCAGCCGGGTTCTGCGGTCGTTTCCGAAATGCCTTGTAGCCAAATCACCGCAAAACTGCAATGTGTGACCTGAAGCAGCAGTTCACCACCGCGCAAGAAATACAGCCAAGTTAGCTCACATGATGACAGTTGCAGGATGACACTACGCTACCAAGAAGCATAAGTTTGGAGCGTGCTTGCGTTCGGCTTGTTGCATCCTGGAGGCCAAACAAACAATGAAGAGGCACTTACTTTAGCTTTAGCACCACTTTTTCCAGTAAAGATGGGTCATGGGCAGCTTGATAAGAGACCAGGCAGCATCCCAACTTCACCTCTGATTTTGTATGAAAGTGCAGCAAAGCAATCAGGGCAAGGACAGTGAAGTGGACCCATGTTTCAAAGAAGCATGTTGCCGCTGGCAGAGTAGCAAACACAGTGAGGTGATCAATGATTTGTCTTGCACTACATTTTAATTGACCCAAGTTTGGTGGTGAGCTGCGATCCACATGGTGACGAATGGGCAGTCAAAGCTGCATGTGCTCGTGAGCCCTTTGTGCACGGCATTGCCGCTCGGGGGCTTTGGTTTCAGGAAAGTCGAAGTATCCCGCCTAGCGCTCGGAATGTTGAACGTTTATGCAGGTTTTATCCGCTTGTGTGTACATCTAAGAGCTTCGGGTTGGGCTGAGGTGCTCAGCAGATCCTCTTGCAACATGCAGATGCAGCTCCAAGTCGAGGCATTGATCTCGATTTGTAAGCCTTAGTATTTGGGAGTGGGTCAAAGTTTAACCACTAGGGGACCGCAGGTTTTGGTCCATGTTTCCATTTACCAGACCCACACCCATTTGGTTGTTACCACCACGCAGGCGCATTGGGCGAAGTCGGGAGAAGCATTGGTCATTGTGCAGGTCAGCACCAGCTGTCGTTGCCGGAAACAGATTGGCTGCGAGAGGACCGGACAGTGATTTGTCGGAACAAGCCGGCACAGAACTAGAACATGCGATGAGTTGGTGTTTGGTCCTGAACGTCTGGATGTACACAGAGAGACCCTGATAGGAACAACACAACGACCCTGGTGCCAATGTCTTCCGCTCGTAAAAGACTGACTGGTGGAACACACAGAGGAGGCAACCATGTAAAGTCAAATTTTCTTAGAAGTATTGACATGGGTGAAACTGAGGCAAGCTCACAGGTTCCAGTCCAAGATCACACCTAACATTTCTGGCACTGGAGCCTGAGCAATTCTATGTCAACCTCAGTCACACCCCAGCGTCGCTAGAGACCAAAGCTGGGGATCCTGAAGATGCCAGTCCCACGCCAAAACTACGCAAGACGCAAATGCGATGACCAAAATCCCACACTCCGCAGCCCAAAATAGCCCAAAGCCAAGATGAGCCAGGACTGTCAATTTTTTGCTAAAATTGCAAGCACTTAACAAAGTGTAGACATTTGGGGAACGGCCTCAATTGGTTTGTTGGGAGTGCAGGATGAGCTGTTCCCAGCTACTGATTCAATGTGTTATGGCAGTCACTGGGATAACAATGGTGCACTGCAGACTACTTTTGTAGCCCAGAATTTGTTGGGTCAGCGTGGGCTTTGCACTCGACTGTGGCGTCAACTGCACGCGTTCGATGCAATGTTTCCGGCAAGGAGGGGCAAGCTCATTGCAAGAGGGCTCTGAAAGATGAGATGGGCGCAGCAGCTTGCCTTGAGCTTGAAAACTCGGCTGCTCCTTTGTACAGCGTTCACATGCCACGCAAAATCATCGCTCATCCAAGGTGGCTTTGCCAAGAAAGCGGATGCGGCAGTCTGGTTGAGGTAGCCACCGTCTTTGCAGTCATGATGATGGTCTGAACATACCATATCATTTTTCAGCAGTTATTGGATGGTGAAGCTTTGCAACTTGCTTCCCGTCTTAGTAGATAGACGTGTGTTGGTTCCAGGATGCACAAAAGGGCACGACATGCGACATTGGCGGCAAATGACACGGCCACAAGACAATTATGTCAGAATGGGCAGGCAGAGTCTCACTGTGGGTGTGAAACCACATTATGCACGGAATTCGAGTGGCACGATTGTATCTTAGCATATGCACGCGTGCCTTCTACATTACAAGGTCAAGTTCTAGGCATTCCCATGGCCCAGGCTGTGTCTGGGCTGCAACTTTCAAGTTCAGCTTTCTTGATAGTTCAGCTCCACATCCCGCATTTTCAGGCCCCTGCTTTGGACTTGGCTGAGCTTGCAGCGGGAATGAGTTGGGAAGACGGCAAGACGCAAAACATGAGCGGCGCTGTGCTTTGCCTGGGTTGGCAACAACCAGTCCATCCATGGTGTGTGTTCAAGCTCGGATGAGATGTCCTTGTGTGCACTGGCAAAACTGTCGATGCAGTTATTTCAGTATCATTATTGTGGTAGCGCGCAGTGATTCTGATTGACTGCACATTTATCCAACGAAGCGAATGCATAGGCCACACCAACTGTGGCTGCCTCACCATTGTCACTATGTATTCTGATTTTCCCCATGACAACACCGGCAGAGAGATATTGCAAGCCCATTGCAAACTCGGTACGATACCTTGCAAGGCATATTATTCAGAGGCTTCGGCATCTCCAGAGGTGTCTTATGTTTAGGAGCCATGCAGAGCCAGGCTTCGCTTTTTTGGCTTTTGGTGGCCGCGCTGGCGGTCATTGCGCCCTGGCTGGAGTGAACGAAGACGGGTAAGCTGAGAGCGTTTGGAGTCGTCCCAGGTTGCCGCTGGCATGCAATGGGACACCGCAACTGCCGAGAGGCCATACCTTTGTTACCCGTTTGCAGGCTTGCCATTCTGTTTATCCACCATGCTGTAGCTGTGCACCTTTGTGTCGGAAGGTGGTTGCCGGAGATCTTGCATGAGAGCAGCGTGCAGTGGTGTTCGCGTCCCAGGGCTGCAGGGCTGCGCTGCAGACTTCAATACCTTGTCGCACTGAAGGTATGGTCAGTATCGGCTTCATGATGAACTTCATCGCCGCATGTATGGTCTGTGCAGGCTTCTGTAAGCGAGCTGTAAGCTGGGATTCCTGTGATGCACGTTACTTGCTTTCTGCTTAGCACGCGCAACAAGCTCGAAATCATTTGGCCGTGGGTCAAAACCAATGCTACCATTTTAGACCCTATTTTAGTGGGGCTTGGGATTTTCACTGGGGGTACGGGATTTGACCCATGGCCATTTGGAGTTGCAAGAGATGATCACGAGCCTGGCCTTCTTTGAGCAGGGTCGCCACAACGGGTTCTGGGTGGAGGGATCGGCGGCACGTGTAACAAGCCTGGGGCGCTTGCAGGGGTGAAGAGCTCGGCCAGACTGGCTTCCACGGTCAGTGGCCCAGGTGCCGAGGCTGCGGGAGAAATGTAGCGACCCAGGAAAAGGCCGTAAAGCCCAAGAAGGAGGTTCAAATCAGGGAGAGAGCGGAAAGCACAGGCCGGGCTGATTTCCTTTCAGCTCATCCATGTCGCATTTTTGTGCTGTGATTCCGAGCTTTTTCGTGGCGCAAGCTGCGCCGCTTGCGCTTGCTTGCGCTTGCCGGTCGGGCGCACGGGTTAGGTGAAACTGGCCGCGAGGCACGGCGCTGGCAAGGCGAGGGTGCTGCGTAGTGCCGACGGAGCCCAGGAGTCCAGCTGGCTGGACCTCTGCTGTGCCAGGAGCCTTCCATTTATTTTTGTTTCGAGACACAGCGAGCTGACCTGTAAAACAGCAAAAACAAACTCGTGGATTCGAGGAGTCCAGGCGGCAGTTCGGCCGTGTCCAGGCAGAACTCGTATGCAGGCCGCGCTGAGTGCTGTGTGCTTTGCAGCAGAGCCCGAAAGAGTGCATGTTACATGTGCCGCAGTGAAGGTGGAGATGACGAGCCTGCGTGGGACCGGCGTGCATTCTCTTGGTCAGTGTGCACTGCCGTGAAATGGGCTGAGCGTGGGGGCACATCCCCGAGTCCGTTTGGTTTTGCAGATGCCGCGTCTGATTGATGTTCGTTGCAAACATGTATATTTAGCTGGCGGGAAATAAAATGGCATATAGATGGACTTTGACTGGTGAATTCGAATGCCATGTTTGCTGCAGCAATGCTGGACATACAAGAAAATTGTATACCCCTTGTCCCAACCGGTGACCAGTTGCACGGCCGGAGTCTGCCTCAAACATATAAGCGTGACACTACTGCAGATCAGGCCTCTTCATGGCTTTTGTTTGACTGATGGTCTTGAAATCGTATTGTCGAGGCCCGGGGAGTTCCGCTTTTAAGCTGTCATAGAGAGAGGGTGTTTGCCAGATGGCTACAAGATGATTCCGCACTGCATCCCAAATTCTGCGGCTATCGCCTCAAGGAGAGCACATTGCAACACTTGACGCCATGCAGAGTCCTTTTAAGATACAATCAAAACCCGAACAATTGGAGGGTAGTGCAGGGACAATCCCATAAATGACTTGGTGCGGATACCCGTGGTAATTCTTTACATGGTTCTGGTTGGATCGGCCATTTGAATACTGATTCGGTTTTGACTGTGACTCATTTTGAGATGCAGGAACCGGGAACAATGCCGAACTTGACCCGCTTCCCTGCGGAGCCGCATGACGCCTCAGCTTGCAGTGAATCTTTGCATGCCATCAAGTTCTTTTGCACGGAGGACAGGCATCTGTTTTGGGTAGAGTAGATGTCATGCTAGGCTGGGCAGCAATGTCCCTTCGCATTGGGAGTACTTGACTTAGATGCAGAGCGGAGCAGTTGCGCTTCGCAGTGTGAGCCGACCCAGGTTTATGCTTCCCAATTGCGGGGACAATGAGAGGAGCATTGCTCCCCTTGAACAAAGATACCTTGGTGGCTCCCAGCAATCCGGTTCCTTAGCTTTTTATCTTTTTAGTGGGGTTTTCCAATTTCGCCCACTAACAGTTATTCACTTTCAGCGGGGGATCTGAGGACAGCCTAGCTCGGAAAACGTCGTTGGGTTCTTGGCGCAGGATGAAGTGTCGGGAACTTCGAGAACGCGTGAAGAACGTCAGGGGGGCAAAGGCCATGTGAGGGGCGCTGTATTGTGACACTATGGAACTAAGTGAACCAGAAGGGTTTTGCAAGGAAAGCAGAAGGCCCCAAAAAGCACCGGGCCATTGAGAGCCCCAATGAAAACCCGGGTAAATGAAGGTTAGAAAGGAACAATCCCAGCCAGAATTCGGTGCGGCCACCTATTCAATTCTTGCTATGGTTCTGGGAAGACCATGTTAATAGCCGGGTTTTGGTTGTGACTCATGTCGGGGTTTTCCTCCGGAGGACCCCATCACGATGCTGCGCTTTCTGCGAGCCCGACAGGGGAGCGGCGACCTCGAGCCATGGTCTTCGCATGGGTCTGCTGACCTGCTTTCCGCCTGAAGAGAAAGAGTTTCAGGTGTCAGCTCTGCGGCCAAGATGTACCAGGACGCCATGAGGCTGCTCGTGCACCAAAGGGTCCCTGAGAACAAACAGAAAAACCTCGCCAAGTCGTCGCTTGAAGAGCGGAATCAGAGGTGGCGCGAGGGCACCGGCTACGAGCTGGGCTTTCGGCTGAACAACAAGGACGACTTGCCGGGGGCTTGCGAACGTTGCAAGCGACCAGGCGGTTCGGGGAGTGTGTTCAGGTTGCACCGCAAAGTGGACAGTTGCTGGCCTCCCACCGCAATTCTTGGCAAGGCCAGGCGTTTCTGGGATTCGAAAGAGGGGCAAGATGATGCCGCTGCAGGACTATGATGGTGACCCCGTGTACTGGAACAGGCGGGAACAGATTCCTGTTACGTCAATGCACGTTCAAGAAATATATCGGGGAATCTTCGGGGTGCAGGATGGGACTCGGCAACTTGGACTTTCTCGAAAAGGCAGAGTGACTGCTGACTGCTGCAGCTGTAGCAAAGCTGAATTCCTCTGCACAGCTTCGAAGCCGGCCTCAGCGATTTGCTTTGCCAGGCGCCGGCCGATTTCCTGATCCAGCATGAGGTCTACACCATCGCGCGCATCATGCAGGCGATTTTCAGAATGAGCAGCACATGCCTAGGCCACGCTCCACGCTTCGCTGTGCACTGTGAAGGCAATGGAAGAAGCATCGCGGATGAACAATCGGCCTGCCTGCAACCTACCACTTGTAACACGTGTGTGCTGCTTGGCACCTAATTTGCCTAGATCATGTACATGACGGTGGTGGCAGATTTAGGCGGGCTGGCAGCGCGGAACATGTCTGAAAAGCACGTTTTCCCAAGGTGAGATGAGTGCGCTGCTCAGTGGCGAACTGCTGAAACTTGTGGTGTTTTGTGGAAGGCTCAAGTTAAGATGGCCTCAGGTTGGCGCTCTTTCAACCTTAAGGGCATCATGAAGTGCACAAGTCTACCAAGCTCACCTTGCAAGGGATCGGATGTGCTGTACAGGTACAAGGTCTGTGTGAGAACGCTGGAAGACAACTTCCCAGAGCTCGTGAAGCGCATTGCTTGATCCTTGATGGGCAGTCAAATGGTTCAGATTCGATTCTCTCATTTTTTTTCTCAGATTGCCATTCGCGTGCCTCGACTGGCCTACACGCTGTGGAACATTGCCTCGCACTTTTTTGCACTGCTGGCCAGTTGTTTGGGATTTTGGGGGATGACATGCTGTCCAAAGGACACACACACACACACAATTACACTTGCATGAGACGACAACGTGCACAGACACCCACAGCCAAAGTAGGAAAAAACAAGGAAACAGGAGAGAAGATGTACGTGACAGGCTGCATTGAATGTGTCCAGGTGCATGCAAGAAAGGAGTTTCGGATCTCATGGGACCATCGTCAACGGGGTGGCCGACATCCCCTGAGCGGCCACCGACTTCCAGGGCACAGCTTCGAGCTACTGGACTTTGACGTGGAAGTCTCTGGGCTTGGCACGCGACCCAATATGACAAGCCGCCGACGCAACTGCTCTTCGGTTGCTTTCGTGGCTGATGAAAAAACAAAAAATCGCGAGCCAACGAAAACGATCCTCAGGAACGGGCAGCCCACACGCGCACATGGGTGGTGGCGCGTGCAGCTATGGGCTTTGCAAGCCCATGAGTCAAGGCGCCAGGCGTCCTACGCGGGGGCGACTCGCTTGGCGGGCGCCGAGGAGATTCTGAAGCGCTGCAACCGTCGCTGCAGTGGGCGGCCTCAAGCAGAAACAGAAAGACGAGTGGAGGAAGCTGTCAGACTTTGCTGTCAAAGAGCCGTAGCAAGGCCCGCTGCTTCTTGCTTCCTGAAGGCACGGTTTGTCTGGGCACCTGCGTGGCGTGTCTCGGACCAGCTGAAATGGGTAAGGTGGACAGTTCAGAAAGTCAGGTGTGCGTGCAAGTCAACGAAGCAAAACTCAGAAGCGCGACCTTCCAGCTGGTGCTTAAATTTAAGCTAGGCTCATCAACGGCCAGGGCGTACGGTGGTGCTTCAACGGCGGCCTGGTCCGTCAAGTAAGTGTCAGTGTGAGCGTAGTTACGGTAGGTGTCAGCCTTCCAGCATCCAACGCGCGCAGCGTTACATGCAAACGACTTTAGCATCTCATGGGGCCATCCTTGAAAAGGCGGCCGACATCCCACGAGTGGCCGCCAACCCACGCTTAGGGGCAGCACTCCCCGTGCCTACGCGCGCAGACAACGCGCAGGCACGCGCGCGCGCGCGCAGACACAGACGCAGACAGATGCAGATGCAGACAAAGAGACAGATGCAGAGGCGCGCTTGTGCGTGTGCGCACGTTGACACAAAGACGTGGACGTGCGCGCGCACGCTTGCTTACAGCTTGCTGACACATGCAGAGACACGCTGACAAGTGCAGAGACGCAGGCTGACCGACACATACACAAACACACAGACTTGCAGACACGCAGAGCTCTCAGACACACAGAGGCACAGACACAATTAACGCACGCACGCAGAGACCCACACAAAGACAGGCGCACGAAAGCAACACAAAGGAACGTCGCACATGCATACGTGGGGGCTACTCGGACCATGCCTTGTCTGCATCGTGTGCGTGTGTGGGCGCGTGTTTGTGTTTGCGCAGCCAGGACGAGGGGACCAGGGCGAAAATTCAGATAGCGGATGGCAACAACACAATGAAGGCGGTCTGGTTGTTTGCAGGTGTCATGCCGACAGTTTGAAAGCAGAGGCAACTGAGTAGCTTGCCATGATCAGGTTTTAAGTGAATTCATGGATCCGAAGTGGGTGCCAGAGGCGTGCCGGTCACATTGAATTGCTCATGTTGCACGAGTGCATGCTCGTTGTTTCTGTTTTGAAGGCATTGGGCGGCACCCACCGGATCAACAACAGCCTCGTCCTCATCTTGATGCGACTCACTCCTTGTTTATCCCGCTGACAGGTAGCTGGTGCAAGCCTTGCATACCCAGCCCAACAGGGCCTCCCTCACCTGCAAGGGCCCCAGATCTACTCGTTTTTTGGATTGGCAAACCCACGCCTTCCAAGGAGACGATGAGAAGCCTTGACTCAACCTTTGGAGACACCTGATTCTCGCATTGCGTATGGGCATGATTGCACAGGCAGCTGTCAAAGCCACCTGCCAAGCATGCAGAGGGCGCTGTTGCCGCGCATAATAGCCGCGCAGGGCATCGGTGCCTTCTAGTGTTGTAAAGGTTTTACCTTGCACTTGTGTGTGGCAACGGTAGGAGAAAATGGCAATTGCTGTGCTTGACTGGCACGGTACTGTACATTCTTTAACTGTGCTTGATGACCGACATGTCCCATGTACGCGATTCATTTTGAGATGGCAAGCACTCGAGTCTGTGTTGCCTGAACGAAGCAAGGCACCATTGACATATTTATGTTCTTCTAACTTTGCTGCGTTCCAATTACCAGCCTTACCTAACTTTGCTCGCTGCCGAATGTCGCTGACATGTTGATGTGATACCTGCAAGGGATTTGCGGGAAAGTCTTCGCCAGCTACACGAAATGCAACTCCCAAGCTTCAGGAAAGTGGGCAAAGCGAAACCCTGGCTTCAAGGGGTGGCAACAGCTTGGCCCAAGTATTGGCGGGCAATCAGAGTATTAGCTTGACTGTTTCTTTCTGCAGAAGATTTGAGAAAGCGTTGTGGGAGAGCTTTTCTACATCGTTTCCTGGGACGTGAGTCACGAGCGGCTGCATTGATTCGAGGGTTTGACATTGGACGAGTATTTCTACGTCAAGAGACGTGCAGGCAAGGGAATTCCTTTGCTCCAACGAGCAGAGCAACGAAGCCAGAAAGAGAACCAAAGGTTGCCGGCCGCGGACAATTTGGAAGGCAAGTGTGTAGTGTACGGAGTGTCAAGACCCGAAGTGTTGCTCTATTCCTCTGCCAAATTTTGGGGCTTAGGGCATCTTGGCAGCACATATTTGGCCAGAACGAAACAGCGCGTTCAAAGCGGATTGCGCAGCATGAACACTTCAGTCTCCTCCGACGAACAGTTCTCAGGCAAAAGCGTGGCATTCAAAAAGGCCGGTGGAGGCGAGTTGCAAGCTTGGTCGACACCTTAGCTGTAGTCCTTTCAGTGCCAAGATTGAAACTGTTTGGTGGACCTTTCAGCAAGATGTAGCCAAAATTCAAACTGTTTGCCTTTCAGCGCCAACCTAGAGGTCCCATGGGAAAAGCCTGGCAAGGCCAGCCGCTTGGCACATTCTTTGTACATGGCATCCTTGCATCGAAATCTCGATGGGGCAGCTCATAGGTTCTCAGCACATGCGCAGTCATCGATGAACACGTGGTAGAGGCCATGGTCAGATGGCGGAAAGCACTAGCATGTGTGTTTCTTTGCCACTCAACTTGCTGCTCCCAACCATGATTTTGGCGGACAGCGCTGTCCGTGCGCGTTGTCATGGCCGCGCTTGCGGTGCGGGCTGTTGCATCGCTGCTTTCAGCCGAAGACTTGCAGGACGTTTACGCAGATCGAGGGAATCAAGCCAAAATCAAAACGCGTTGTGTGTTCAATGTTTATTTGCTGGGATACCATGGTGTTCAACGGTGCTGGGTGTGACGTGTCTTCTTTTTTTCCAGTTTGACGCGCAGGACGTTGAAGACCTCCTCGCCTCCGGCGGCTCCCCGCTCCGGGTAGAGCCGCAGCTGGGCCGCCAGGCCGAGCTCCGTGCGCTGCGCGCGGCCGCGCGGCGCCAGGAGGCGGCCGTGGCGGCGGAGCGCGCGGAGAGCGACGCCGTCATCGAGGACCTCAGGGACCAGCTGCGCGAAGGGCGACGTGGGCATGAGGGGCCTGAAAAAAGCGAAGAGCACGCTGGGGCGCGGGAAAATGCGGAGCTGCAGGCTGCGGTGGCGGATTTGCGGGCTGAAGCAGCGATGCTGACGCAGCAGCTTGAGGAGATGAGGCATGTGGCTCCAGAAGTGCACTCTGACAGTCTGGTCGTTGCGATTCGAAGGGACCGGCGATGCAGTCTCCAACAGCTGCTGGACTTTCAAAAGCGCTTTGCGTCTAATTACGTGATTAGGCTAGCAATGTTGGCATGGCGGATTCGCACTGCAGCTCTTTCGGCAAAGATTTCCGAAAGAGCCAGGCTGCGATTGGAGTGTCGTGACAGAGTCGCAGGGCTGATTGAGGCCCAAAGCAATTTGCATCGGTGCTTCGATGCGTCAGATGCTTTCAGAGCGTGGGCACAAGCTGTCCTTCCATCTCCAAATTCCCGAAAGCAAACGCAGCACAAAGCGAATTCACGAATTCGCCTTCTCAGATGCTTGCAAGCATGGAGACGAATTGCTGCATTGTTGGGCTCCCTCCGAAATCTAACGTGGGTAGAGCCAGCAACTGTGTGCTCCCCTGAATTTGCGTCAGCCACTTTGCATGATGCACACCATCCCCGCGTTTATCGCGCTGTGTTGCTGCCAACCTTGGGCCGCAGTGCTAATGTCCCCTGCGAGAAAAAGGCTGAAACCCGGTCAGGCTTGATGTATTCAAAGTTCTGTCAGCAGGATACATGGAGCTTTGTGATCAAGCATCAGGAGGCGTTGGGTTTTGGGCACTCCAGCCGCGCAGCAGGTTCTCTCCAAACTGCCAGTCCAAGCTTAGCCTGGCAGCTCGCATTTTGGCTGCACATGGGCATGTTTCTATTTGGCCTGGTGAAAAAGGAATGCCAAAAGCACAGGTGCAGGGGTCAAGTGTGACCTGTGATGGTGCCGCTTTTTTCCCGGTAGCAAACTCTGGGCGCTGCATGGTGATCTGGACATTTGAAAAGACTGACCTGGCCAGTCGCTATGCTGCAATTGTTGCCTAGAAAACGGCAAAGTTCAAGAAGTTTGTGAGGGCTTGCGTTGAATCCGCTTGCATGAGTGATGAGTGGCATGAATCGCCTCGAACTCTGGATCATCAGCTTGTTTTTGTTGCCAGAGACAAGGGCGGATTTAGTCGATCACTTCAACATCTCGATTTGCGCCAGCAACACATCGCGCATCGCCGAGAGAAGTTTTACCTGAACTTCAGCACGCGAAGATTTTTACCTCCAGATGCTATGTCCCCCAACCCGGAGACCGCGTGGAAAGGGGTCCTTGCCTTGGACCAGGCCACACGGGACATGAAATGCGACGCGACCACGCGACCTGTGTGCTGCGCTGAGGTACCAGCGAGCACCACATGGAGCGCCATGGTCGCCAAGGAGGCAGGCGGTCGCCGTTTCGGGTGTCGCTTGAAGCACAAGTTGCGAGGAAGCCGAGTGGCCTCCAGAGCTACCTGAGGACGCGCTTGATTCGCAACAGGCTCTGGGGAAGCCGACAACCTAGTTCGCGGTTAGTGCCTTGAAACACTGCTTTTTACGAGGGCAGTCTCCTCGAACTTGAAAGTAGTGGGACAAACATTAGGTTTCTTTTCTACGTGGCTTGGTTTGGTTTGGCTTCCGACCCACCTACACGAGCTCCCTAACTTGCAAACGGTCTGACACTAGGTGCGTAGCTTCGGGTGACTCGAATGGCAAGGAGCCCATGCGGTGGAAGCTGCTGATTGTAGTCATTGACTGCAGCTACGGTCCTCGGCTACACAATCCTCCCAGGCGCCGCATGTTCGACTTAAGTGAAGCTTTCCGGGCTTTGCTGGCCGTTCTCATTGAGCTTTGACCTCGTGTTATTCAGGTCGCAGGGAGCATTGTTACATCGTTCCTGAAGGATCTTCCCTTCTAAGAAGCGCGGCTTTTTTCTGGGGTCAGGAATGAGATCACATACGACCTGGTGGTAGGTCCATCCGCGCTTTGAAAGCCAAGCTGGCGGCGGCCTTGGGCATCGAGGTGGGCGCTGATGCTTCAAACAACAGATGGCTGTGGGTCAAACGTAGGTACCCCAAAATGGCTTGCCCTGTTAAATGGAAAGAAGGACCAAAACCTGCGGTCCATATCCTGGTGGTTCAATTTTGACGTCACATCCAGATCTGCTGTGGTTTTAATTTTGGTGAATCCACCTACCAGAACGGTTGGGCGCCATCCCCGACGTAACTTGACGTCGCCACCACCGGGTTTTTCGAAACAAAAAGCACCAAGCGCAGCGCGAGAGCAGCTTCGCGTGGAGGCTCTCTCAAAGCAGTCGGGGACTGGCGGTGCGGAGGCGCTGGCAATGGGCATGGGGCAACATCCAAATCGGTTAGCCCCCGGTTTTCACATCCACCAATTGAACCACAAAAATAGGAAGCCTAAAATGGGTGGTGCACATGTGGGCATGGGTCAAATAGATGAAAATGGGTGGTGAATGCACCGAAAACCCCAAAATGGGATGTGGACCGCTGGTTTGGTCCGTATTTCCATATACCGGGGTTCCATTTTGGGCACGCATTTTTGACCCACAGCCATGTGCCTTTCAAGGCAGCCTCCGCTCAAGCCATCGTGACCGGCATAGAGGGCCCGCAGCGACATCTCATTGAGCAGGCGCGCATAGCTTTAGGCGTACAACTACGTTGGAAGAAAGTCCCATACCCGCACGCTCAGACGAGCTGAAAGCTTATTTTCCAGAACCAATCAGGGATCGCGGCATCATGGCAACTTGCGGCCCAACTGCCGGCAGTTGCCCTCGTGAGAGCCCATGTCATGCTCCAGGATGATGACCTTTGCGGATTTTGGGATAGAGCGTGGAGCTCAGACTGAGTCTTTCAGGAAGCAGGGTTGTCATTTCTTCTCAGACCGGAAGTGCTTTTTGTCTCCAACCCACTTGTTTGTTCTTTTCTTTTTTCGGACAACTTTTTGCTACCCATTGTGATGCGCACAAGTTTAACCCTCCCACCTCCTTTGACCTCTTTACCTCTTGAACCACCCGTTGTTTTCCACCTTGCCACCTTTTTGAAGCCCCAGGTCATGATTGCCTTTACCCCTTTCTCACTTGTTTTGATCCGGCTTGGAGTTGTGCAACCAATCCAAACTTTCAACCCGTCCACCACAGTGAATATGGCTAAACCTTCTGGTAGCCAAGCCTTGACCGCCACCTAACCCGCCCTAAATCAACTGTAAACCTGCCTAGGGCAACCCCTTAGCTCATCTAAGCCAGCCCAAACTCCCTGAG